GATAGTCTTCAATTTCAAAAGTAAATCCCTTGAAGTAATAGACAATGAATCATAATTAACTGCAATAATGCTACAAAATGCTTAATTACTATATGGAAATCTAATTGAAGCAAGAAAATCACAAACCTTTGTTAGGAAGCAATTCAATCAAATAACTTCAAAACAAATATATGAAATCTTGGATTCATCAACCGACGAAAGTAATATAATAACCGGTAAAAGTATGACCGGAATGAAATATAAAAGATAACAAATATACATGGAGCAAATATTAGATCAGAAAACCTAAGGGCTGTCTCCAGGTTAAATGGAAACAAATGTTGTAACAAAGGGTAGCAATATTCAGTCCATCATCAGGCTAAGTAATACCCATTGTGATGGCCATGTCCTCCTTTAGGCTGAAGCCTCAAAACACCATTTGGTAGGCTCATCTCATCATACACCAGCAATGACCGTTTCAGTAGTCATAGATATATCCAAATGTCAACAGGTTATTAACCTTTAGATGTAATTTACATTCTACGAAGTTTTTCTAGAAGAGAAAAAATAAAATAAAATAGTTCAGTTATCAACTATCAATTAACACGAAAATCATCCTTATGTCATTTTCCCCGTTTTGGACAAATATTGGATATTCAGTGTATAATTTTTCACCCTCTACAAGGAACATAAGCGCCATGTGGCATGTTGTACCAAAAATGGCATCCACCTTTTTTTTAAAATCAAATTTAGAAATCAAAACTCCTCATGAAAAGGCAACACAAACTTATATGCTTTCTCACTTCATATGTAAATACACTACACAAGCATTCATTCATTAAAAGAACCCATTAGATGCACTCGGAAGAAAGAAATTCGGAGAAAATGAAATGCAAATGGCAAAACGAAAATGTAACAGACAAAAGAGATTTCTACCTTAACATCAGTTTGCTGCAAGTAGATGAACAGGAAATACCCAATCCTAGCCCAAATACAATCCCCAATCTGAATCCAAAAAATCCCATTAAAGTGCTTATTATACCCATTTATATTCTTGCTCGAAATCAACCCAAAAAAACTTCTCCAAAAACAAAGCAAAACGAACCCCGAATCACACACCAGGGAATCAAAAGAATACAGATAGATGGGCCCTCAAGTTTCGATTCAACCAGCGAATCTTGATATAGAAAATGGGAAAAAGGGAAAATCAGTGTCAAGTTTTTCCCTGAACCGGGTAAGGAAAGGGAGGCAAGACAGTGAAAAATCGACGGAGGGGTTTCCAAACTATGTAAAGATAAATTATATCCGAGAAAGGAGAGGACACGAGCTTGCGAAGTGAAGCGATGAAACCGGTAACACGAAGAAGCTTAGGGTTTTCGTCCAGTGCCGACGGGAAAGTCTGCGAGAGAGAGAGATGTCGAGAGAAAAATATCTTTTATTTGGGTTTCCTGCCAAAACGACGTCGTTTCAACCGGACGAAAGTGTGAACAGTAATTGGAAAAGTGTCTCTTTTATTTGTTAGGGATTAGGGGCATCTAGTCATTTTTGGAAGTAGACATTCTGTCATTATGTTGAAAGTAATGATTAAGTCTTATTTTCAAAACGAATGTATATTTGTGCATTCGTGACATTTGTCCGGAATCACATTGTCGACACACAAGGACTTAGTACACTAACATCTAAGTTGATTTTATTAGAATTTGCACATAGGTCTCTTTTCAATTGGGTCCCACCGTCTAATAAAATTCAACAATAACGACTAATTTTTCAATTTTAATCTGATTTTAATCTCTATCGAACACATCCATAATTCTTTTAAAATTTTAGATATTAAGGAAATCAATTCTCATTTTCAACCACACATTCTTCAATAAAATAATNGTTCTGTAAGTTTAGTTTTTCCCATATTAATTGGATTCAACACCTCGAATATGGTAATTACATGATATGTACAACAATAATTGTTGTTCTATTTATGACCTTAAATGTGCATCTAGTCCAAATCTATGCTAGTAGCTTCATTCCATGTAATTAAATATGCACGTCGGGCCTCCGCCCTTTGGGGTGGTCGGGGCTCCGCTGGTAGGTAGCGATTGCGGGTTCATACGTCAAACAAAAAAAAAAATCCACGTTCTATTGTGACATATCATAGATGTATTATAAGATCCAAATAAATTGAGAGGTCTGACCTTGGATTCTCCTTCAATCCGAGGCCTTTTTCAGGAGAAATAAGCTTTTAACCTTCATTTTTTTTTTAAGAGTTAAAGTTGGATCATGTTTCTATTGTGCAATAGTTTTATTTATAGGATATATTAGGGGCATCTAGTCATTTTTGGAAGTAGACATTCTGTCATTATGTTGAAAGTAATGATTAAGTCTTTTTTTATTTGTGCTTTCGTGACATTTGTCCGGAATCACATTGTCGACACACAAGGGCTTAGTACACTAACATCTAATTGATTTTATTAGAATTTGCACATAGGCCTCTTTTCAATTGGGTCCTACCGTCTAATAAAAGTCAATAATAACGACTAATTTTTCAATTTTAATCCGATTTTAATCTCTACCGAACACACCATTAATATAAAAAAGAGCGTACAAGTAGCTAAATTCAAATTGCAAATATAAAGCCGATTAAAAGAAGCACGAAATATATTCACCTCAAAATTGAGTGAATCAAACTGTTTTTACAAATATTTTTCAAAAACATTAAACCTTTTGTATTTCTTTATCTAACCTTTCGAGAAATAAACGTTGAATAAGTGAATAGTATTTGTGAATATATTTGTAATTGAAAATAAAGTTCGACCATTATTAAATAGATGCTTAACTTTTTTGACCACTAATTCGACTTCATTGTAACCCTAAACACAAGGATCCTTGGTCGATATTAAGATTTAACGACTACGGATTTGGGGTGGATGCCACTATAGAAGTGACCAATTATATAACTTTTAGTATTTGTTTTGTGAAAATTAAAATCAAAATTTTAGTAGATTTTGATAAAAAATGATGAAATGTGTGATTTAAAATCCCATAAAAAATGTAACTACAATTATTAACTTTAATTTGAACTAAAATCTAAACTTTAGTGACCAATGTGATATGTCCTCTAAACTTCAGTGACCATCAGTGAAATTAACTCCATCTTTACCTTCACCTTTACCTTCACAAAACATCACAGAAGTGTTTCACCGGCTCTCCGCTCCTCTTCCCACCCGTTGATTCTGTGTGATTAATTTTAATTACATCGGATTATAGTTTAATTAAAGAGAAAACTGCATTATAGATTAAGTAGCCGAGTAAATATTGAGCCGCAGGTGTGTGGGTAGGTGAAGGGCTCTGAATAAGAAAATGAGCCGGCCGGCGGTGCACCCGGTGGAGGCTCCGCCGATGACACTTGAGGCGCCTAGAGTGAGGATGGAAGACGTCCATGGCATGCCTGGCACCACAGGTGGCCTCTTCCTCCGCCTCTGCCAGTTCGTTTTCGCTGTCGCCTCTCTCTCCGTCATGACCACCACCTCGGATTTCCCCTCCGTTACTGCCTTTCGGTTAGTTTTATCCGTAGGTGTTTTCAGTTCATTCTTCTTCCACTTTTATACTCAGTTACTTGCATTCACGTGTATGATATATCGTATTTGTTTGTGTAATCGTATGCTTGAAATGATCGAATTAGTGGAATTTAACTGCTACGATTTACATATTGTTTTATGGAATTAGGGTTTGCTGAAGAGGTCAATTAAATTATATAATCTAATCAGGTCTATGGGCATTTCACTTTATTGCTATTTCCTGCAGGCAAGTGTCTTTAGACTGCATATGTGCAATGCATTCTAGCATTCATCGGCTTCGGTTATGTCGTAATAGTCATATACTCATATTTGCTAACTGTTGGTGCTGATAAAAATGAAAAGTATGAAACACAATGCTCTCTTGGTGAAGCACCAGAGTGTATTTGGATTGAATGATTTGCAACACTTACGTCCTGGTTTTACATTTTGGTTGTGACAATTGATTGAGGATGGGAGATAATTGTTTTTATTTTCTCCACTGTTGGTCCTTCCCAGATAGGGCAGGCAAAAATACTGATTTTTTCTATTCTCGTCGGATAAAATAATTGGTAAATCCATGTGGGGATAGATGCCTTGACTTGTGAAATCTATAAAATCCAAGTTATCAAAGAGGAAAGAATAAGAGAATCAAAAGAAAGATTAAAAGGAATGATCATTCAGAGCAGTACGGACGCTAAACTATGACAATCACTTTTAGCTTTCTTTTATTAGTAAATTTGGAGATTTGATGTGTGGATAACAGGACAGTCAGATACACACATTCATACTCTTAAAGGTGAAATGGTCATCTCGTTGTTTTAGACTGTGGAGGGAAGCCAGACCCTATAACACCATCTGCACTCAATTTTGCATTATATTCTAGTAACCCTAAGAATATGAAACCGACCTTTGACTATTATTCAACACCTTTTATTCTAGATAAATAGTAAATATAGAAGATAATGATGGGACTCAGGTTTTCCTAATGATAGGTGGCTTGTTGATCTCAAGACTGGTAGATAATGTGTTCCTTTTGCCCCATGTGACTGAAATATGGTTTGTAGAGTATGTTATTCAATTTTGTCAATGTCTAGAAGCGGTTGTTGGTGTTATACTCAACGTTCCTGATCATTGGTTTTTTATTTTGTATACTAAAGATTCTCCTCTATACGTATGTACATGCAATATCAATCTTTAGCCTCGTCCATTAATATGCTAGAATGGTAATATTATATGCTACAACACGAGGGGACTAGAATACCACTTGTTATTTTGTGGATTTGAATGGCTGGGTCATTTGTTTCTTTATTAACTAATAATTTACTCATAAATACAAATTAAAATACTCCATATGGGTGAAAATAACAATGTAACTATACCCACGCAGTAGTAGGAGCCACTAGCAAGAACGTGAATTCTGGTGGAGCTTCTCACATCTTGAATGAAAGTTGATTGTGTTATGTGCGTCGTCTCGTTCATGCAAAAAACATTTTCTTTGTGCGTAGGTTAAAAAAACATGCTTTTTCTTTTTGTGCTTATCTTATTTTCGTTGCCAAGTCTTCCTTAGTTCCTTCTGCACAATCAATAATAGTATAAGATGTGAGCAAGATCCTTGAGCCAAAGTTTTAATTTCACATGTCCTTTGATGGTGATTTCATGTTTCATAACACTTTAAAAAAAAAAAAAAATTCAAAAAATGATGTCTCTGCTTGACATTTATCTACATTTTCTCCTCTACTGCTTTACTGATGTTTTAATGTTGAAATTTTACTGGTGTATGGAGTGTATAAGAGTAAAGAACACTGATAACTCTAGTAATAATTTCACATCCCTATACCTCTTTATTCCTTTGGATTTTGAAACATTTCCACTCTTCAATGAATAAAAGTATTGTTTCAGTTTTAATGGTCATGCTATCACAGCCATCCATTGTCAAAGTACAATGCATACTTAAATATATAGCTCCAAACGAGGATAAAGTTCTTCTCGCGAAATCATCTCCTAATTTTGTTGCATGGACTAATAACTAAGTTAACCAAGAAAAAGCTGATTCGTAACTTTTTGTCAGCTATTTATTTAACCAATGGTTAGTTTAAAGCCTAGATAAAATTGGTGGTGAGGTCTTTTCCAATCTACTTTGTTTTGAATGTGCACACTTCTTGGTGCAAGTTGAGCTTATTTAAAATATTATGCAAGTACGGCGAATATAATAAAAATTGCTGTCTATTTCTTTTCTTTTTGGTTTTTAGGTATACCAATTTTTTTCACGTGGCTCGTTAAGTTTGTGTTTTCGTATAAGTGATTATGACTAGAACTTCTTGCTTTGTGTATCAGCTACCTTGTTGCTGCTGTTGGTTTGCAAAGTTTTTGGAGCCTGTCGCTGGCAATTGCTGACATATATGCCCTTTCAGTTAGACGGAGTTTCAGACATGTTGGAGTTGTCAGTTTATTCACCATTGGTGATGGGGTAAGATTAGCTTGTTTGACTAGACTATAGAAATTCTCAGATGCAATGCCTTTTGTGATAGGGGTATGATGTTGCCTTGTATATATGGGAATAATGTGATCAGTATCAATGTGAAAATATCATCTTGCATGACTATTTTTCTAGAAGTAATTAATGCGATAGAAAACAATTATGCAACTCTATTGATGCAGGAAAGCTCGGTGTGTAGATTTTCCAGGAGCCCTTATGGTTTGATTGACCCTCGTATGCTAGATATGAATAATGCTTCTGCTCTGACTATAATTTTAATTGGGATCTTTTGATACTTTAATATTCCATTTTGTAATACTCATTTTACAATTTTAAACTTGAACAGGTGCATGTGATCCTATTTTTCTGTTTAATTTCACTTGCAGTTTTTGATACTTCAGCATTGCAATTTTTACCTCCCGCAATCTTTAGAATATCATTTTGCAATGGAACTAACGAAAGGGCCACATTTGACGATTGCATTTTTTGTGAATTGTTGTATAGTGATGATAAATATTATTATTAGCAGTTCAACTTTTCATAATCTTCTGCCAAAGCCGAGTTAAAAAAAATTGTTGCAATGATTAAGATTTCTCCAATTCTACTGTTTTTGCTACATTTCTAATGAGAATGAGAAATGTTGCATATAAGTGAACTATTCTTGCAATGACACTAAAATTTCACAAATTCTATCAAGCATTTTTCTAAACTCTCTATCTGGGATCATATGTATGACACCTTTCAACCTTTTTCTTTTCTTTTTGCTCATATTGTGTTTATATCTTTGACAGTCTGTTTGAATGCACTCTTAATCATATAGGAGCATACCACTGCTATAATCTTTATTTCCATCATACAGCACCCAATTTATTAGTTGTGTATGAAGTCCATGATTTGATGAGGTGTGAATCTCATGCCATCATCATTATGTACCCTTTCATTCGTATTTTTCCTTGCCAAAATAGTTAGCAAGATCTTCCCATTGTGCAGGTTACTTCAACTCTAACTTTTGCTGCTGCCTGTGCCTCTGCTGGTATCACCGTTCTGATTGGCAACGATATGGATAAATGTAATGTGAACCACTGCACTAGATTTATGTCAGCTACCGCCATGGCTTTCCTGTGCTGGTTTGCCGCCTCACCATCATTTATTTTGAGTTTTTGGTCATTGGCGTCCCGGTGAGAAAGAAATGCTCTACTGAATAAAAATTGCATCTCTATGATTGACTACCTTGTACTACTTTTGCTTTCTTGTTGCTTTTCGCTTTCTCTTTGCTTTAATAGATCAGCAAAGGAGATATAGATGCCCTACTGTCTATATCAGTGAATTTTGTACACGCAGAACTTACTGTGTTACCGACAGTTTATTTTTTTCAGTAGTTGGAAACAATATTTACTGTCAGAGATCTGTTAAATATGTGTTTCAACTTTCGATTACTTGCCTTAAGACTTGAATATGATGTCCAATTGTCCATATTAGGTTTCACCAATTTCAAATTTAAGAAACTAAATTTCGAATCTCTGATTTTTTTTAAAAAAGTTTTATTTATAAATTAATTAATTAAACATACATTTTATTAATAGGTCACAATTTCATATAATTTAATCACAAATTTTATATAATTGGTCACAAATCATAATTTTTATATTTCGCAACTTATTTTACGGTCAAAATTTAAAAATTTTATATATCACAATTTGTTCATCGGTCACAAATTAAAAATTTATACGTCACAATTTATTCAATAATCACAAATCTATGAAATTAATAATCACATATTATTTATTGGTCACAAATCACAAATTTTATAAATCACGACTTATTTTATAGTCACAAAACATCAAATTAATTTATTACAAATTATATTTATGTCACAATTTATCTATTTCATTGGTTACATATTTTTTATTGGTCACACCAACTAATTGATTAGTCATAATCAATCAAATCATTTGTGACCACTACCAACGTTTGTAACCACCACCACACTGTTGTAATAACCCAAACAACCTTCGCTAGAACCACCAACACCACCTCCCGGCAACAAAACCATCCTCTCGAATATCTTAGCCCACATAACCACCGATACCACTAGCCACCCACAACCATCGCACCACCACCACCACTTGTAGCACAACCATCACGACTTGCACCACCATAACCCACCATCGTACCAACATCGCCGCGTGCCAGTAGCCAGCCAAAGGGTGTCTCCTGCCAAGGTCCTTAGAGCCCCTACCACCTCCACCTTCACTACTGTCGTCGTTGCCTGATCCACCATTGCTGTTGCACCTCCACCTGTACAATCGATAAAAACTCCCAACACCACCAAAATCACTCCAAACCTCCATAAGCAGCATCATCACCAATAACACTAACCACCACACCCCAAGTAGATTCACCACCACCGTCAACATCTTCCACCGCAACACCTCACCATCACTACGATGGTGACATGAAAACCACTGCAAATCAGATCTAATCACCTCAAAGTATATCTATTACACCGCCACTGCTGAGAACCAAGGCAGTATGAAAATCACCCCAAGTTGTTACATCGTGATGCTGGAGATGAAGCCACTTCTCCCAGGTCTGCAAACATGGGGATGACGCCGTCGCTCGCTGCTATGGTTGTGACGGCAGAGTTTGCTGTGTCGCTTCCGGTGGTGATGGAAAAAAGAGAGCGTGAGAAGACGGAGAGAAGAGAGTGAGGAGAGAGAAGACGAAGGATGACGCCGTCGCTCGCTGCTATGGTTGAGCGGCGACGACGTTTGCTATGTCGCCTCCGGTGGTGACAGAGAGGAGAGAATGAGAAGATGGAGAGAAGAGAGTGAGGATGAAGAAAATGTTTGCTATTTTGGAATGAAATTGATTAGGATTTAGAATGAAAATTGTATAATTAATATTTAATGTTTAAAAATGAAATATCCGATTTTTGAAAAGTAAAACCTAATATCTGAAATTTGAAATTGAA